ACCATAAATTTCTTATTTTAGTGGAGAGATTCTGGGAAAACAATTGAGCGACGTGATGTCAATAGCAGTTTGGAAAAGGCAAATATACCATTTTCAGTTTTTTTTTACTACTTATATAAAGAGTCATTAAAATCTACACTATAGCTCTACACCTAAGCGAAGCGAGGGCGGGCCACTAGTAAATAGATAATTTTAATTAATAGTTAATAAGGGACAGGTAATTTGCTGCACCTAATATAAAGCACTTAGCGCCACCCATCATTTCCCTAATACTACACCTTCACTTCTAGACTTAATAATAGTGTCTTCTCCTCAACGTGTTATGAAACACGGTCAATGTTCGGCAGATGCATTTTCATACCATGACTTGGTTTTCTTATCATACAAGATCCGTCCTCCTAAGCCCAAGCCGAAAATCATTCTTCAGCGGAATTTTGGTGGTATGGATCGGGATGCGTTTCTCAAAGACGTGCATGGAGTCGACTGGTCGTTGGTGACTGATGCCGTGACTGTAGACGAACAAGTGTCTGCTTTCAATAATATTATAATCAGACTATACGACAAACATGCACCGTTTCGTCCCATTAAACTTAAGCACCATCCAGCACCTTGGCTGACACCAGATATAAGAGCATTGATGCACAAAAAGAATGTGGCTAAGTGTAAATATAAAATTCGTCCGACAGACTCCAATAAAACTAATTATGTCAAGGCTCGTAATCACTGCAACATGGTGTGTAGGGATGCTTTACGTCGCCATATTCATGCTTCAGTCAGTAATAATGATCCTTCTAAAGTGTGGAACATCCTTAGGTCACTTGGAATTGGCTCGTCAAAAGTCTGTTCCTAGTAACGTCGATATAAACTCACTTAATATTCACTTCTCTTCATCGTCTAGTCTTAGTGATTCCCACAAGACTAATACTTTAAATTTTCTTTCATCTTTACCAGTTCCTGACTACTCTCCATTTGTCTTTACTCAATTCACCGAATGTGACGTTAAGAAGGGCATGCTATCCATATCTTCCAATGCGGTAGGTAATGATAGCATTAGTCGTAATATGCTGATACCTATCCTAGATATAATCCTTCCTATAGTTACCTTTCTTTTTAATAGCTCATTAGCAAACGCTGTTTTTCCATCGGCTTGGAAAGAAGCTCAAATCATCCCTTTGCCCAAAAAATCGAATCCTCAATCTTTTGCCGATTTTAGGCCTATTTCTATCCTTCCTTTCTTATCTAAAGTCCTCGAACGTCTCGTCCATAACCAATTAAATATATTCCTCTCTCGTCATGACCTTTTTAATCCTCTCCAATCTGGTTTCCGTCCTGGGCACAGTACCACGACTACCCTCTTGAAAATCACTGATGACATACGCCATGGGATGGATCAAGGTCACCTAACGGTACTGACATTATTGGACTTCAGCAATGCCTTCAACACTGTAAATTTTGACATTCTTCTTGCGTTGCTGCGCTCACTTAACGTATCTCCATCGGTGATTGAGTGGTTTCGCAGTTATTTGCAGGGACGCAGGCAGAGGGTTCGCCTAGAGGAGATTTTTTCCTCATGGAGCGACACTTCTGCTGGTGTTCCCCAAGGCGGCGTTCTATCTCCTCTTCTTTTCGCTATATTTATTAATTCTATTTCCAAAAATATTACTTCTTCCTACCACCTGTATGCAGATGATCTTCAAATTTATAGACAAGCCCCTCTCGGTCAATTATCTGAAGCAATACTGGCCACCAATAATGATTTGCGACAAATTGTGGAGTGGAGCAAATCCTTTGGACTAGAGGTTAATCCCTCCAAAACACAATGCATTATTATAGGTAGCTCAAGGATGACTGCCAAAGTGAATTTGCAGTTACTTCCTAACATAACTCTAGCTGGCAACAGTATTCCATTTAGTGTTTCTGTTAAAAATTTAGGAATAATCGTCGATAACCGTTTCAGTTGGGATCCACAGTTACAAGCTGTTAGCCGTAAATTGTTTGCTTCAGCAGCTTCGCTGAAGAGACTCCGTAATTTCCTTCCTATTGCCACCAAAATTGCCCTAGCACAGTCTCTGCTACTTCCTATTCTTGATTACGCTGACGCCAGCTATCCTGATCTCACGGAGGACCAGCTTAACAAGCTTGAGCGACTTCAAAATTTCTGCATTCGGTTCATATTCTGCTTACGCAAATATGACCATGTGTCTCAATTCCGATCACAGCTCAAGTGGCTACCTATTCGACTTCGCCGGAATACTCACATTCTCACACTTCTCTCCAATATATTGTTCAATCCTTTGTCCCCGCGCTATCTCAAGGAATGCTTTAATTACCTTCATAATTCGAATGCGTTATCTCTTAGGTCATCAGAAAATTTAACCCTAAAAATTCCTACCCATGACACGACCTTCTATGGTCGTTCTTTTACCGTCCAAGCTATACGCCTATGGAATTCTCTTCCAGTATCCATAAGACGAGCACAATCTATTAATATCTTTAAAAATCTTGTTGTGAATCACTATTTGTCGATGTAGCTGCATTTTTATCTCTGTTGACTGGACTAAACCTATATATGTGTAGTCTATGTTTATATATGTAATATGTATAGGTATATAATATGTATATATTATGACGTGTATTTATGTATGTATATATACTTAATTCACAAATTCGTTTAAATCCCTTGTTTCTTTTACTGACACCGCCGACTCCAGCTTTCTTTCAATCCTCTCCATCCAAAGGTTGTCTGGAAGAAATCGCTTTTAGCGATAAGACCGCCCATTGAAGCACTCTTTTTTTTTTACAATTGTATTGTCCCTCATTTCTGTTCTGTGTTGTGGTGTTTTCAATAAAGTATTGTGTATTGTATTGTATTGTATAAAGGAACTTGGCAGAGCAGGTAGTCCACTTAAGACTGTTAATAGCTTTCTGGAATATACAGCATAGAAGGTGCCCGCGACTTCATCTGCGCGGAAAATTTGGTTTCCTATACAAACTTTCACCCCCTTCAAGGATGAATTTTGGCATAAAATCTATCCTATATGAGGACATAGGATAGTTTCTCCCATGGGACTCAAACTATCTATGTATCGAATTTCATCTAAATCGGTTCAATTGTTTAAGCGTGAAGAGGTAACAGACAGATATTAGTATGCATTTTGTGTGTAACATGAATTCTGAATCATAAAATAATATTGTGTGCCCGGGACTTCTTCTGCGTGAAAAAATACATTCCCATACGATCCATCCCATTTCCATCCCACTTTTCACTCCCCTAAAGGGTAATTTCTCGGATAAAAACTTTTCTGTCCCAGGTCTCATACTATCTCTATACCAAATTTTATCTAAATCGGTTCATCGGTTCAATCGTGAAGAGATAAAAGACATAGACAGACAGACACACATTCGTATTTATAATAGTAATTAATAGTAATTTCGCATTTTTAATATTATTAAGTAAGTATGGATAAAGTAATTGCTAGGCCTAGACAGCATTATAAAAACAGCGTTGTAAGCTCATTTCCCGTCGCTGAATGAGCGAAATAAACTAATTAAAAAACCTTTTCCTGTTAAGTGCTTGCGGCTACTGGGATATGCTTCAAGTGCTACGCTACGGCTACTGAGAGTTCATTGAAAATTTAGAAAACTACCGTTTGCCATTCGGTTTTGCTACATCATTATTTTGCTTAAAGATTAAACACACAAAAAATGTGACGAACTCTATCAACGGACATAACTAGAGTGTTTAAACATCTAACATTTATATGCTTGAAATAAAAATGTAATAACATTACAAGTGTATTTCCTCCAACATAGATTCCATCCAACACAGAATTACGCTCAAAGTGGAATCCTTCCATCATTTTCTCCATGCTTCCCAAATACACCCATCTGGTTCTTTTTAGGGGTGGACGTTTTTAGTATAACGATGCCAGGTTTGGATGCGCGCATCCGATGCGAATGGATGCCGTTATTGGATGCCGATGCCATCTAGTTTCTGTCAACGTTACTATAGCAACAGTGCCACAAACTTATCTATGTCGGTGGAGATGTCGCTAGCGGTGAAAAAATATGTCATAAAAATGTCAAAATGCTATGGATAAATTGAAGTTCAAATGTTTGCCACCGGTACAGAAAAGTTTGTGGCACTGGGCTGCGTTCAAAACCTTACTCTCCGAGTGCAATTTTTTATAATAAATAATTATTTTTTATAGTAATAATTTTGCCAGCATTCAATATTTTCAGTTACAATACCGAAAAGAAAAGAAATGATTTTCGATTCCATTTTCAAGTCATGATTCATGGAAACGAAACGACGGCACACCCAAACGAAACACGCATCTGTCGTAATTCATATCGCATCTTATCCTGTGATACCTACTACGATACTGACATTCACTTGGCATCGATGCGCGCATCCGATGCGATTTATCTGATACCGATGCGCTTCGATTACACAAATACATATCTAAAAACGCCCATCTCTAGTTCTTTTTTTTTTGAATGTTTTCCACATCGATTGGCAGAAAGGAATATTTCTGGGAAACGTTGTAGTGGATAAACAAAACTTTTTTAAGCATTTAGCTGCTCGATGTTTAAATGTAAAGATAATTGGAAATAAGAAATTTTACTAGCAAAATCCACTAGTTTCAGATTTCAGACGGGATTCGAACCCGCATCTTCCGCTTTCCGTCCGCCCGTATAGTGCTTTGTCCGCCTGGATAGCGGAAGATGCGGCTCCAATCCCATCTGAAACATAGGGCGAGCGGATTTTTTTATAGTTCAATTTTCTTTATATCACTTTTTTTTCAGGATAATAATTTAGACCAAAGTAATCGCAAATATAATATTTCCATTGTAGCAGTAGAAGCAAGATCATTCACATGATACATGAATGTGTATTTAAAAACAACCATAGAAGATACTAGCAAAATCTAAAAAAAATATGATATAAGCTTAGGTAAGTATGATACACGATATCACTTCATAATTAATGTAAATAACTACTACTTCCATTCAACTCTTCACAAAATAACAATAAGTTGACTTATCAGACATGTGCTGAGATTATTAAATCAAAACTACCGGTATTGTTTTTAATTTATAAAGTGCTAATTTTGACCCAATATCACTCATTAAACGGATACACTTCATAGCAGGCGCTAGTGATTCGAAAGGAATTAATGTTAAAAAAGGAAGTAGAAAATATTTATTGCGAGACCAAGTTAGCAGTACAAACGGTAGCAAACTTTTTTCACTCGAGACTGCACAGCTTGTCTACTTAAAGTCCAGTTTCATTACGATTCTAAATAAGAGCACTCGACTAAGTAAGGTAAGTACCTGTATTCAATACCATCACTGTTATATAAATATTCTGTCTTTGTAACTAGGCTCTATGTAGCGTCTCTACGATTTGATTAATTACCTGATTTATTTTTAACGGCTAGGCTGCACTCATACGTGTCACGTGTCTATACATTTAATAAAATGGTAGGAAAGTCAAAACTGTACATTGAATATTTTTTTTAAAGAATGCTTGGGGTGTGATCTACAATCGATACCGAAGCCAAAAATATAGTTTTTACAATTTTTGTCTGTTTGTCTGTATGTATGTCTGGGATAAACTCACAAAGTACTGCATGGATTTACTTTAAATTTACACGAATATTTTTAAGGTGTCAGGTCAACATATAGGCTACTTATTATCACACTATCAACTACGGGAAACGAGCAGTGAACCTTTATTTCTTTAACGCATTCTATAACAACGTGTAATCTAACGACGCATATTTGAATGTTGTTATTATGTTAACCATGCCTTGAACTTTAACATGTATGCTCTATAGATGATGTAGAGGTGTACTAATAACGTATCTTTAGAAATAAACCCCCTTTTGGGGTCAAAAAGTATGTGCAAAGAACTAACGACTCCACGCGTACGAAGTCGCAGGCGACCGCTAGTCATTTATAAACTGTGACTTTAATTACATCGCCAGAAATTTTTTCGTTCATCTTAAGTATGTCACATTTCATTTTTTTTGTCTTAAAAATCAGACCTTATCAACAAGTATTTGTAGAAACAATAGGTTCAGTAGTAGAAACCTCGCCTGCCAATTCTATAAGATTACTAAATTATTCAACCAAAATAAAAGGATATCTTTATTAACTGGCTAGCCTTTAAGTTCATTGGTACTGACTTTGGTGGGGCTTCAGTTTTGCACAAAACGCGCATTTTTGAAGTCAAGGACACAATAAAATATATTTAAAACACAAAAACATTCACATTTCATTGAGAGAATTCGGAAATACCCTTGTGTCTTTTGTATAGATAAAGTTTTATAAAACATCGGGTCTTTGTTAAACTGCCAGTAATCCCCAGGGAGGAAATTAATTAGGAATAGTGTTTCGTCGATAAGCTGGTACGTTTATACTCATGTGCTGAGTCTGAGATTGACAACAGCAGTGCTATTCTCACTTTTCACCGGTCTTAGCGGAGTGATTTGAAATAATTAGAATACGAATTTCAAATCTTAAGGCGAATCCCGCGGTGAAAACTAAATTTGTTCTTACAGAATAGCACTGTTGGTACGCACAGAATCTCTTGAAGCTATTTTCAGCGATGTGAAAATAGCTGGTGCGTCAGAGATTCTATGGCGCGCACTTCTATGAACGTGGAATTGACATGGAATCAATTACAAGAGCAATGTACCTAAAATTTCTCATCACAAACTTTGTCAGCAGTGAAGCAGGTCCGCTCATGTGTTGCTTTCCCTCACTTTACCTTTAACATATTCTTGTCAAATTACTCATAATCTCATTGAATTTTATTTGGTTGTGGTCATTTGTAAAGTAAATAATATTGGCATGGTAAGATCAAGTCGCATCAATACTAATTTCATTACATGAGTATTATTTATCTTTATTATTTTTATTTTTTAAGCATGGAACTGCTCGATGTTTAAATCTTTTTATATATATCATTTCCATCCATTATCATATTTTTTATTCTAATGTTATTAATACACAACAACAGTTTACATGAAATATATTCCTTTTTAGGTAAGCTATTTCGCACAGTACCTACGGTATAACATTATTTCGTTTAAAAGTAACAACAAGTTTGCTGATAAATAACTGATCGGATCTTCTAAAGTTAACCAATAGAAACCAAGCAAACATATTATGTTACAAACCTGTGATCGATCTAACAAGAAGAATTATTTTAATTTACGATAATATTTATCACAATTAGCCTGTGAATGAATTCGACAACTCATACTAGTTGTTCTATACAAGCACACTACATACTACATAGCTATAGTATTGGACAAAAGCAATTATCATAAACGATGGAGGTACAATATAGATTAATGGGTACCATTTTCTGTAAATATTGTAGAGCTGAGGCTATTTTAGCATACCTTCCGAAACCACACAGGTGCAAAACAGAATAAACTTTTGATTATCCATTCATCACACGAGCTTGACTTAATTTATTGCTATAGAACTTTATTTACAAAGTTGCAGACATAATTTTCTTTATATATTTTTATAAATTAATAACACTATATTGAAGTACATAAAGCGCAAACCCATCAGGTTAAAAACTAAGAACTATAATGATACTGAAAACTTGCTTCAAAATTTGTAATAATCAAACACACACACACGCACACACACACAAACATAACAGATATATTGAACACTCTAGACTAAACATACAAAATGTAAAAATCGTTATAAATTTGTAACCAATATGGTATTAAGTTTGGAAAAGTTATGGAAGAGCGAGAGTTCCTGACACAGGCAAATAAACTTGTCTACTAGGGATTCTCAAATATTGTATCACTAGCATAATATTGGTTATAGAAATAAAGTATTTTTGATTTTTTGATCAATATTTTTTTGTTGTCAACATATCTTTCAATATTAATCGAAATATATATTCATTTATAAACTGTTGCTTCTATGACTGCCGAAAATCACATTTTAAGTATTCTTAACATAGTTTATTTATTTCTCCTTTTTTTATTACATAAAACTTAAATAAAGTTACTTATTTTATACTTAATTATTTGTGCTTACTTTTCATTCTGACAGTCACAATCAAATGTTTCAAATTTGATTAGAATTGATTTGTACCTATTTAATTTTGCTCTATAGGAAAAGAATAAGACAACACAGTTTGATAGGCATTAAATCACATAAATCTCTCTTAATGCGGCCTAAACACATTATCGAAGGTAAGAGACCTTTGAAAAAATTAGCCAATGATGTCATTTATCGTTAAAAGCAAACAAATATTACCAAATGATACGAAACTATAATCATATAATTATCAATCCCATTTATCTTTTGTGTTGTCTCTTGTTGATGATGTAAAAATATCTTAAACGGGTAATTTAACCTCTCACCCATACCAATATAACTAGGATTGATAATGATAAACTCCGATATACATTCAAATACATACAACGTTTCCAACTGAGAGGTTGTTTTGAAATTTAAGCCGCTAATATGTTGTGAAATACCTAATAATTTTTGCTTTAAAAATAAATAGTGTTAATAATAAAGTTTTAAATTAAGTTTATGATAAAATTAAAAATGAATTCCATTAAAGTGTTCGCGAGAAGTATGAGCAAAGCGAGGCAATGGACCCCATTGAAGAAAGTCGGTATTGTCGGTGTGCCTTTCGAGAAAGGGCAAAAGAAATATGGAGTCAGCGTGGCACCAGCAGCTTTGAGGGCGGCTGGACTCATTGAGGAGCTATCAGAAATAGGTAAACTATAAACAAATTCCCCGTTATACCCAATGCACCATTGACTTGCACCATAAATGGTGCAGATGAAAATGATTAGTCGGTATTTCTCTTTGCATGTTATAATTAATTTTACAATATTTTCTAAATGGAGTTTTTTGTAATAGTAAAATTAGTGAAACTTTTATTGCACATCGAGGATTTGGAGTTCATTCGACATTCATGTTTTATGTTTTCAACATTAGGGGATAGTAGTATTCATAATAATGGTGCAAACGAAACCAATCAGTTTCATCTGCACCATTAACAGTGCAAGTCAATGATGTATTCGATACAACGCCAACAATTCGGCCCATTGTTTAAAGTATCACATATAAAAAAGGTTTTTGGATCCTTTTTTTTATAAATATGAGCCATCATATTAGCCCCACACACCTGATGTTCAGTGTTAGTGGGGTGCAGTTGGAACTAGCCTCAGATTGCAGGTCTTATCACATGCCCTAAACCCTGAAGCTCCAGAGCTTCACTGCTGTCTTCTGTATACCGCTGTTTAATACAATGTATATATTATACATAATTACCAAACAAACCCGCAAGGAATATATGTAGGTATGTAAATTTCAGAGTTGAGCTTGAAAAATGCTCTCTATCCATATTGAACGTGTACCTATAGTGGTTTCATTTAAAAATCGTGCCCAGGCAGCGGGCACTACAATCCGAACGGACTGTATATTGTAGATTTTAGCGATATACATATATCTATAATAAGTTTATATTATAGATACATAAAACGATTTTAATTTACCTAATGACGATAGAATTGTAATATTTACATATTAATAATTTTAATTTGAAAACTCCGGCTGTTTGCTTTAATCTCCTAAACGATTTTTATAAACTTTAGTATAAATATCAAGAAGACTTTGTATCGCGAAATTAAAACTTGAAGAGGTGAAAAAGTTAGATAGTAATGAAAATTTATATGGAAAATTGTTTAGTATTCTTTTTTATCGTAAACGAAACGCGGTCACCTATGGCTGTAATCAACTATAGTTAAATGTTAATCTATAGTTTCTCTACGGGAAATAAATTAGGTGTTTTTTTTGACACACATCGATGTCTAATTAAAATGACCACAAATCTGACATCTATTGTTTCTTTATATTATAACTACAACATACACATTTAAGACGATTCCATCTATGTCCTTAGATGTCGTAATCATTAACTTTTGAAAGAAATGCCTGCGTATCAGCGTGAAACCATGGAATATTTTTCCAATCTTGAACGGGTTTCAAGATGGGAAAAGGGTCGCAATAATACGGTCGGAATATCCTATGTCCGATATATCCTTGTGAAAGAGAAGTATTAGGAAGAAATTTATTACGCCACCACAAATCGGCTAATCAATACTTAGTTGCCTTCACGGAAATAAAATTTCTATGGTTGCCACTGCAGGACGAATTTCCAACACTGGCAAAAAGTACCTCAGCAACTTCATCTTTTTAATCATCAATAGGGATGACGACAATTTTCTTTTCCTAGTCTATCAGGTAGATTATCAAAAAGTATTGGAAACGTATTTTTTTCTTTATGCATATAGTAAAAATATTATAAAGATATATTGATTTGAAATGTCGCATGGCGTCACGTTTTGGTACAATTTTTACTTAAAAATTTTGACGTCGTCCCCCTTTTTTCCGTCCATCAGTACGCAGCAAAGCTTAAATAACTTGTACCCGTGCTTGTACCTATTGAGAAAAGTAGACTGTCTCAAGCTTTAAGCTGTCTCGACCTAGGTTAACCTTTTTTCTTTTTTTTTGTATGTACATTTTTATGAGTGCTTATTATGTTTTTCTATGATACTGTATCATTAAATTTTCGACCTAACAGATGGGCTCGATGTGAAAGATTTCGGCGACATCGAAGTGACGTGCAGCGACAGCACGCCCGTGGTCGACAACATGGCGCACCTGCAGCAAGTCTCGGTCTGCAACAAGAGACTGTCGGACAAAGTCTCCGAGATCCTGAAGGACGAGCGCGTCGCCGTCACCATTGGTGGTGACCATTCTATTGGCGTAGGTACGTGGTGGTGATTGGCGTGATATATGGTTCCTTTTATTATACCTGCTAGCTGAGGACCTAATTTTTATACAGCTTTCAATAACGGAGGGAGTTCTCAATTCGTCTAAATCTGATTTTTTTGTGTAAGTATATTATAATCGCCGATTGCTCGAAGACGTAAGTAAGAGACGAGGTTATATGACTCCTCCTTCCCCCGAATCACACCCACCAACTCAGCCAGCCTGTGGTCGACAACATGGTGCACCTGCAGCAAGTCTCGTTCTGCAACAAGAGACTGTCGGATAAGGTCTCCGAGATCCTAAAGGACGAGTGCGTCGCCATCACCATTGGTGGCGACCATTTCATTGGAGTAGGTGAGGTTCCCTTTATTAGTCCTGTTGAAATGGGGACTCTTTTTTAACCAACTTCCAAAACCAGTGGAGGTTTTTAATTCGTCAGAATCTTTTGTTCATCTATGTTCGCCGATTACTCAAAGACGGCTATGGCGATTTTGTTTTTCATACAAATAAGTATTAATTGTGTCATGCTGGCAGTCCACATATGGTCCACATAGCTGTTCGTTTCCATTTGTAAATTTGACTACTGGTCTTTTCCACTCAAAATTGTGACTTTGGATAATGTCCCTGTAGTTACAAAAGGATCTCATGCCATATCTTTGTATTCCAGGGACTGTGGACGGCCATTACAAAACGGACAAAGACATGATCCTCATATGGGTGGACGCACACGCAGACATCAACACGAACAAGACATCTGGGTCGGGCTCCGTGCACGGCATGCCTGTCGCTCTACTGGTTAAAGAACTATCGGATTATTGGCCCTATCTACCTACCATGGATTGGCAAATACCAAAGTAAGTAATACCTACGTGTAAAGGTCTTAGCGAAAAAACACGCGCTTGTCCCGAGGCGAGGCGATTACCTTACGATTCCGATTAGTGTGCGTTATAATAAGGCGTTTCATACAAGGAATATTGAACAGCCCAAGTTGATATGGTGAAGATCCCTTTCCGAATTAATATGTCTACTACGACCTTAATGTGACACGACACTAGCAATTTTTTTGCGAGTTTAATGTCTTCAGTATACTGAAGACATTAAACTCGGTGATAGGTGATTTGTACCAAATGAGCGTTTTCTTGTTCCACCATAAATTGTAGGTAAATGCCTGAACAGATTTGGATGTTAAGAATATTTATATCATTGTTCCTGAGGGATTTTCAAAAAACTAAAGTTAGCGCGCACGAAGTTGCGGGCGGCCGCTAGTAACATTATAAATGTGTGTGATGTGGCCACTATTATAAATGTGAAAGTTTGTATGTTTGTAACTCGATCACGTAAAAACTACTTAATGGATTTGGATGAAAATTGGTACGCCTATAGTTTATGACCTGGATTGTGGCGTAAGATAACTTTTATCCCAGAAAAAATGTTACGTTCCTGTGGGTTAGTCAAAAAACTAAAGTTAGCGTGAACGAAGTCGCGGGCGTCCGCTTAGGTAATTTATGAACCCTACCTATAACTGACGCAGATTTTTGAAGTAAAAAGTCTGGCAAACAAGCATGTTGCTTGCGGCCATGGAGTACCTATACACTCGTGCGTCGTCTTCCATAAACTAAACCCGTACGGAGACTTGTATTATTTGTAAGGCATGCAAGGACTCGCCTAATAGTAAGCGGTCACCACCGCTCGTAGAAAGAAATCCTCTTCTCTTTCTGTGGCGGCCACCGTGGCCTATCTCTTCTCTTTCTGGTACGGCCAACGTGGCCTGTAGTTGCCTAAGAACATCAGAGGGGAGACCACGAACAACTAGTGCAAAAGTATTCGTATCGCCATCTGCAAAGTTTCAATGGAAACTAGGCAGAAACTTACCAGACGTAAGAACAAATTAGCTCCTTCCATAGAAACTTTGACGATGGCAATACGAATACTTTCTCGCTTGTTGTTCGTGCTCACACGCGCATTACTAAACCCTTAAAAACTTTCATTTGTTTTTTGGTATTTAATTCAGAGTACTAAGGTACTACTAAGATCTCTATTTTTTTCTTTTCGCAGATTCTCAATAAAAAGTCTGGGTTATGTAGGATTGCGTTCAGTGGATCCATTCGAGCGGCTGGCTATTGAAAAATTTAATGTCCCTACATTTGCCATGGAAGATATTGACGAGTGAGTACGAAAATTAATTATTACCTATAGTATTATTATTCCATCTTCATCTACAGAAAATTTTACTAGAAATAATCCCACGCAGTCCAAGCAGCAGACGGGGCCAGGGGTCGTGTTATTAACGCCAGGCAAGTTCCATTGTTAGAACGAGATATCCCATACAAACAGTAGAGCAGCATCCCACTTCAACTGCTGTCTTGGCCTGGCGTTAAGCGTTATTAATGCGGCCCCTGAACTGCCTGTTTTTTTTCTAATAATTTTTTTTTTAGATTTAAACATCTAGCAGTTATATGCTTAAAAAAAATATATAACTTCTATCTTTATTATATTTTTCACAGCTGCAGGTCACACATGCCTACATCGGATAGGAAACTAATAAACACTATACTGGTGCCAATTCTGGTGTGATTCTCTAAACTTAAAACTAAATTTAACATCAGTCTCTCCTTTTCATTCTGTATAGAGAATGACAAGGATATACTGCTGTCAAATTTAAGTTAAGGTTTAGAGAATCATGCTAGGATCGACACCATTATCCCCCTTAAATAGCGGGATTGCGCGCATAATATACCTAATTGTAAATAATATATTTTTTTATCTCATAATAACAAATAAGATAAACATAATATGCAAAAACGTCTCTAGCCATTGTAGCGCCCGTTTGCAATCCTTATCCTCTAATAAGCCCACGGTTAAAATATAAAAGCAGCGAGTGGCGTCCAGCGACTCCTCTCCCTGTAGCATGAACACTACATTATACATTTTATCACGTTTTTTATTGTGTTGCTACGTCGCAGCGGCGTCGCGGGCAACCCAGCAGTATACATTCTCTATGACGCATAAACATAAACAACTGAGCGGTGGCCCTCCGACATCGCAACGCATTCACCCCTCCCCGCCTCGTCTCGGTGGTTGCAAGTCCGGTACGGCGCCGGAGCGCATCGTGTGACATATCACAGATATTTCTATGTAGGACGATGCAGTGACATCGCTCCGGCGCACAGTGGGTGAAAAAAAAAGGTCCCCTTTCATAGGATTTTTGAAAAAATAAAAATGTATATTATCCGTTTAAGGTATGCGGTTTTATTGGACATATCAGTACATTGAATAATAAAATAGTTTGGGGAATTTCCTTTTAATCTAACACCATAAAGCACGGGCTTTAGAGTTTCAAATGTATGAAAACGGAATTTGTTTTGCTCATAACTTGTCTCGGTCTTCTACGGTCAAGCTGAAACTAATAGGGATTATTACCGGGTCTGTTACAAAGCCATGTGACCTTTGACCTTCACCCCGGACGGCCCCGTTCAAAAGATACGAATTTTTCAAAATGCTTATTAGGGTAATTTTGCTTTACGGGGTTATGTGTCTCAATAAACAGTTTGTTTATGTTTCTTGCCCAGCATTTAGTTATTAATATAGCGCAGATTATTATCTAATAAAACTATACATATATATATAGATAACGACACCATACAACTTAACTTTAAATAAAAGCGTCCTTATTCAAAAGATATGGAATTAATATAAATAGATAAAAGAAATAGTTTTAAGAAAAAGAAAACAAGAATACAATATTGTAAAGAATTACAATGATGTCCTTTACAGCCTACAATTTAATCTTTTGTTTGACAATCGCTTAAAAGCCGCGCGCCATTAACGAGAGCATCATTACATATAAACAATACAAACTCTATTGTTGCAGGTTTTGAGGAATTCAAAGGGTTACCCACAGTCATTACCTGCCGTTGTTTGCCTATAATAATTACTGATTATTTGCTTTTATTGTGGGTAGGTGAATAAATAATACGTTGTTATTATTATTATTCAACAATGACTTCGATTATAATAAATACGGAGTACACCTGTATTTCATTTCACTTATCATTATTGATTCGTACCGTAACGTTCTCTTTGCTCAAATTTTAAGTTGCTCAGAATGGAAGGGCTTGTGTCTAATCTCGACGTATATATATATATGAGGCAAAAATCTTTTAGTGCCGACATGTTATTTCAAAAAGTACTCGATTCAGTGAGATTTTCACTATCTGAAGAACAAAAGACAACTCTTAAAACGTTTTGTGCTACATATACGAGTAATCTTAAACGCAAATGGAAGTCAGCTAATTACACACAAGGGAATTTTATAAAGAAGTTTGCTGACTGGTTGGACCAAGAAATAAAATGGCCAGAGTTTGTTTCACTAGACATAACTGAAGAACAATCAAATATTATGACGAGTTTTGAAGATCCTTCAACAAGTATTTCAACAGTAACAAGACCTAGTTTATCAACGGAATGCACTGTTCCTCATAGTGTGGCTGTGTCGACATCAACCGCTACATTTAGTCCTCGAAAAGAATTTGCCAATTTGAGTCCACTGCAAAAAAGAAGAAGAACTGAAAATCTCATTGCCGAAAACGATTTTGAGACACTTGCTTATGCCCTGGCTAGGAAAGCGGAAAATGAAAACCAAACGGACTTTGTAGAATTAGTGAAGCATTTGATTAAAAAGCCTGAAGATGCGCCAATGCTGCGAGCCTGCCTGAAATCGACGAAACGAACTTGTCATACCGATAAGGCACTCGGTATTTCAACATCACTGAAATTATCGAAATGGCAGTATATTACATTGAGGCAGACAATGAGAGACATGGGGTGTGATATACTTCCATCGTATGATGCTTTGAAGCAAGAGAAGAAGGAGTGCTACGTTGAAAAAGAAGACATGGTAATAACTGAGACTGAAGTTAAACTTAAACTTCAGTCTATTTTAGATATTACGGTCAAGAGACTATTAAAAACTCTGGAAACTGATTTAACTGGCAGTAATTCGACTCTTATCAGTAAATGGGGGTTTGACGGTGCATCTGGGCAAAGCAACTACCAACAAAAAATTGACGGCGATGATTCAAGCATCTTCATGTGTTCATTTGTGCCGTTAAAACTGGTGAGAGATGGTACTGATGAAATAATATGAGAAAACCCCAAAGCGTCTTCAACGTTTTACTGTCGACCCATTTATTTTAAGTTTGCTAAAGAGAACGATTTGAATGTTAAAGAAGAAATGACTTCAATTGATACGGAAATTGCTGCTCTACATCCAACTGTTATCGATGGTGCAAATGTAAAACACGTTCTGCATATGACGATGATTGATGGTAAAATAACTTCACATTTATCAGATACATCCACAGCTACATGCGATATATGCAAAGCAAAACCAAAAGAAATGAATGATATCGACAAGGTTACTCAGAGAACCCAGTCTGTAGACATGTTTAAGTTCGGTCTGTCTTCCCTCCATGCACGAATTAGATGCATGGAATGTATCTTACATATTGCTTACAGTCTCGACTTCAAGAAATGGCAAGCGAAGATTTGAAGCAACAGTTAAGCCAAAGAAAAAAGGCTATTCAAGAACAATTCCGGACTGAAACGGGGCTACTTGTGGACGTTGTTAAACAAGGGGCTGGTACAAGCAACGATGGAAACACAGCAAGAAGATTTTTTGTTAATCCTCAAATTACTGCTCAAATAACGGGTGTTGATGAAGAACTCGTTAGAAGATTTGGAGTGATTCTTCAGGCTATCTCATGTGGAGAGTTTGTGGACGTGGAAAAATTCCGCCAATATTGTGCTGCTACAGCACGCAAATATGTCGAGCTCTATGAATGGTATTATATGCCCTCAAGCGTGCATAAATTACTCATTCATGGTGCCGATATAATAGAGCACAATAACTTTACACCAATCGGCAAGCTCTCTGAAGAGGCCTCTGAAGCTCGTAACAAAGATTTTAAAAACTTCAGAACCTTCCACTCGCGTAAATCTAGCAGGATTGCAACAAATGAAGATATTATCAATAATTTGTTAATATCGTCTGACCCATACCTATCAAGTTTCAGGCCTAAAATATGTCAACGAAATAAACCTCTCACAAATGAAGCTAAATCATTATTATTAACTTCTTGTGAAGATAAGGAAAATCTAGAGTTTGTAGATGTAGGTAATGTATCTGATTATGACTTTGATTAGTATGTGTTCTTTCCCTCAAATCAAATTATATCAAACTTTGTATTTTTATTTTTTTGTATCTTTGTATCATATTAATATAAACAGTTTACATATTTAAGAACTGTTGTAGCCAATTTGAGTTCTACTAATCTTTTATACTTTAGCTTGTATGTGTGTAGTAATTTATACAGTTGTGGCTTCCTTATTATGCATTATTTAATTTATGATATCAAGCTTAGTTAGTAATTTAAGTTTTGTAAATAAAAATATTGATGTTAATAATTTTGTTTTATTCATAATGTAAATAGTTTATTTTCTCGTTTGGCAGTAACATATCAGAATCTCCCTTACTACATTTACTAATATTAATAACCAGCTAGTTTATCTGGAAAAACACTTTGTTCATTTTAAGCTTAGTCAGTTAAAGTTCTAGGTATCCCAAAATAAACATATTTGATCAAACCCTTTCTTAGATAGACATTGTAAGTGTAAGTATGTTTGTTTGACAAAATTAATTATTATAGGCAAACAACGGCAGGTAATGACTGTGGGTAACCCTTTGAATTCCTCAAAACCTGCAACAATAGAGTTTGTATTGTTTATATGTAATGATGCTCTCGTTAATGGCGCGCGGCTTTTAAGCGATTGTCAAACAAAAGATTAAATTGTAGGCTGTAAAGGACATCATTGTAATTCTTTACAATATTGTATTCTTGTTTTCTTTTTCTTAAAACTATTTCTTTTATCTATTTATATTAATTCCATATCTTTTGAATAAGGACGCTTTTATTTAAAGTTAAGTTGTATGGTGTCGTTATCTATATATATATATGTATAGTTTTATTAGATAATAATCTGCGCTGTATTAATAACTAAATGCTGGGCAAGAAACCTAAACAAACTGTTTATTGAGACACATAACCCCGTAAAGCAAAATTACCCTAATAAGCATTTTGAAAAATTCGTATCTTTTGAACGGGGCCGTCCGGGGTGAAGGTCAAAGGTCACATGGCTTCGTAACAGACCCGGTAATAATCCCTATAAGTTTCAGCTTGACCGTAGAAGACCGATACCAGTTATGAGCAAAACAAATTCCGTTTTCATACATTTGAAACTCTAAAGCCCGTGCTTTATGGTGTTAGATTAAAAGGAAATTCCCCAAACTATTTTATTATTCAATGTACTGATATGTCCAATAAAACCGCATACCTTAAACGGATAATAAACATTTTTATTTTTTCAAAAATCCTATGAAAGGGGACCTCTTTTTTTCACCCACTGTGCGGCGCCGCACCGCCCCGCAGCAACGCATCGTGTGCTCCCGCTCTAATGGAGGCCATACACATTAGGTTTTGCATGATGGTTTTAGCCGTACATGCAAAACCGACATGCAAGCCCTAGCGTGTATGTATTAAAACTGTACAGTTTTTGATGCATGCAACTCGGTTATGCATGTCGGTAATGAATGCGCGGTTAAAACCATCATGCAAAACCTAACGTGTATGGCCTCCATAACTGTCAAACTCCATGGTAATTTGACAATTGAGCGTGATAAAAACGTGCTATACATCATTTCACGGTGCTGTGCTAGGGGGGCTGAGATCGCTGCGCCCGCGTGCACCACACACCCTGCACCATAGAATCATAGATAAAACCGCCTCTGATAATATGAAATGAAAAGTTAGTCCATACCAACAAACGCACTGTAAAGACCCAAAAAAGGCCCGCGATACTTTGTGGTAGAACCACGTCCTACCTCGGCCACTGCACTTGCATATCGTCAGGTTGATGATAAGATCCGGGACTTTACTAAGTGATTTATAGAAACAAAGTTTCTGTTTCCGATAGAAATCCCTATAAGCTTATAACTTAATTTACCTTTCACCCTCCTGACGCCATGTAACTAAGTTACTTTATTTTGAAATTTTAAGTAAGTAGGCAAAGTAGCCTTCCGAGAAAATGCTTTTAGCGTGAGTTATTAATCGTAGTTAACTCTCCAGAGAATATATCTTTATATATATAATTCTTCTGTGAGTGTGTATGTCACTGAACTTCTCTTAAACGACTGGACCGATTTTGATGAAATTTTTTGTGTGTGTTCAAGGGGATCTTAGAATGGTTTAGATTCACAATTTTGTCCGCTGGACAACCCCTATTTTTTAGGGCGGTACGAAGTTCGCTGGGTCAGCTAGTATCTTTATATATATATAATTCTTCTGTGAGTGTGTATGTCACTGAACTTCTCTTAAACGACTGGACCGATTTTGATGAAATTTTTTGTGTGTGTTCAAGGGGATCTGAGAATGGTTTAGATTCACAATTTTGTCCGCTGGACAACCCCTATTTTTTTAGGGCGGTACGAAGTTCGCTGGGTCAGCTAGTATATTATATATTTCATCCATCTCATGGATATATCTTCCTACCCACTTAGAATTTCCCTAATATTATTGCAGTTTGATAAATTATTTTATACTTAAAACCACCGTGAAAAGGGCTTTGAAGATGACTGACACTTTATATCTATATAAATCATAAACCGAGATCTATATAGCAAAATCCCATTTGTTTGCACTTGGTCGGATTCGCAAAAGGACGCATTCTCATTTCGTCAGAATACAGTTGACAAGAAAAACGCTTACGAGAAAAAACAACAGGGCTTTTGTCTGCTATAGTTTTATTTTAAAAATAAGTACTGAAATAAAAAAGAATCAATATAGCATTCTAAAATAGATACTAATTCGTTCAATTTGTTCGTGTTTTTGAACATCACTTGGATGATTGATTAGTAGTTGCAGAATGTAATTATCGTTGTAATCGTTTTAACGTTACGTCATAAAATCTCTTTATTTAGCAAACACAAAAATAAATGCAAATTTGTCTTTTTGGAATTCTTGTTTTAATTGCAAAAAATCAAAAGACCGTTGGTAAATGTGTTATTACGGATACATTTCTGTACTACGTTACTACCAAAGTCATAAACGTTATAAATATAATATTATACATATTTATTTTTCCATACTACTGTAATGCATCCGGAGAAATGAAAATCCGTCCTTTTGCGAATCCGACCAAGTGTTCGCACTTGGTCGGATGCGAAATCCTATATCCACGGTAGAAATACAAAAGTGCAGATAATATAACAGTATCTTTAATGATCTTTAGAGTTTAGTCTGTTCTTCTTCTAGAGTGTTTTTCTTCTGCCTACAACAAACAACAACACTTTTTTAAATTCATTAGGATAATGAGGCTGTGTTACTGGTTATGTAATCATAATAAAGGGCTACTTTCATTTTTGCAGGCATGGGATCCAAAACTCCATAAACCACATACTTCAATTACTTGATCCTTGCATGAACAAACCGATTCACGTGAGTTTTGACATCGACGCATTGGACGCGCTGGAGGCACCAAGTACCGGCACACCAGGTATTTATACCGACTACCTATAGTTAACTTTGACTTTGACCTAGGGAAAAAATTAGGCAAATTATTATCGCGATCCTTTGTTGGTTGATTTCTATACTGTAATGAGAAAAAGAGCCGCTTCCTTTATGGATCGCATTAGAAAATGTTGTAATTTAATAATTAGTGCTGTGTATGACTGCTGTAAATATGACATTTGTGATATTTGACATCCTTGCCTGCTGTAATCGATTTTATTTTATTTGACTTAATTTTTATTTGCTTTTGATTTTATTTTATTTGATTGATAATTGGTTTATGATGTAATTTAAATGAATTGTATTTATTTGAATTTTATATTATTTATTATTATTATTATGATTTGTGATGTTAAATTCCCCTCCACAGCTCTTTACTAGCTTACTCAGAGCACCGGGGGAACAATAAAAGAAAACCAAAAAATTAAGATAATGTTATAAGTATATTTTATCCACTTTAGATACCAAAGCATAGGAATTCAGTAGTTTTAAGTTATTGCTTATATAAATCAACAAGTCCAACTATGTTTATTATTTATATAATAACTATGTTTCACTAATTATAAATATCCAAGCTGAATACAGTAGTTCATAGTTAATGTGTATATAAACCAACAAGTTGTCATGAAAGGTTATAATTATATGAATATCAGACATTCATAACACTTTACATGTACTTACAATATAATCCTTACTAATATATTTTATCCACAAATACCACATAGACTAGACTGAATAAGCTATTGAGTGGATTTCAGAGGTTCTACGGCTCGTTTGATCGATATTGGTGACAAACTTAGTTAATTCTAGTTCTCAGTGAGATAACCAGTTATATAGGTATAGGTAAATATATGGAAATGGGCAAGTCGGGGTCCAACCTCGCCTCTGGTGGTTCCTTTTCACGTTCACCCGGGGTTAGTAGAGAAATACCTTGATTATGATAGGTTAAGCTGTGTATAATCTGTCTGCTGTTCGGCCGGGTTACATAAAACCGGAGAGCGGCTGGCAAATAAACTCCCGCGCCCCTTCTGGTCCGTGCACAGAACAAAAGTCTCCTTGTTAGTCCTCCAGTATTTCTTGAGGGGAACGTACAAGCCTGAAGTTCACATTGAAAAAGAATGATCAGATATGGGGAAAATACATAGATTACCACATCTGTGGTGGGTGAGGGAGTGAGGGATATTCACGGTCAATGTTTACACTTTAAAATTTGAATCACTACAGGACTGGGGGCCCGTCCCACCCGGTTTGAAGAAAATCAATTCCACGTTCACTAACTTGACAAGAATGATTAGGTATATTTGATGACAAGAATCACTATATTGTGCATAATGCAGTTCAATTAGTGCTAGGAGAATAAATATGAGGTCCGATGATAGCTTACCGTTCGAAATATGAAACTATCCGTAAGTATTTTGTTTCCTATCACAAGTTACCGCCTTATTGTTGCAATTGCCTTGCGAAGGTTCGTGTTCGTCCACCTACGATACAGAATATCAACAGAAAGGTTATTTTCACAGCCCAAACTTGCAAATTATGTAGGAAAAGAGAGCCACTCCAATATACCTACGAAACTCAGTTCGGTTAGCGACTCCGCGCTTTTTCCGCCAATATCCTTCGGGATATAAACTTTTCGGATCTATCTCACGACTTCGACGACAATAATATGCCGTTTATTATACTTTGGGCAGAAGAAAAAATGAAAAGTTAACTGTACCACAAACAGATTGTGAAATTTTAAAAGTTGTTTTGACAATTGCTCATAGATTTTTTTTTTTTTTTTTTTTTTGTATGGCTTCGCACGGTTTGTGCATTTTAGCCAATTTTGTAATTATTATAAAGGTTAGGAAACGTAAGGAAAAGAAAAGGAGGGTTTTCGGGATTTTGAATATTAGGATCAGGAGGGTATACATATGTTAGTACAAGACTAAATTAAAAAAATATATATATAAAAAGAATTAATTATTAACATATTTACAAAATAACACAATAAAGATATACACAAATTATATTTATATTTTAATATTATTATGGATGATGAAATTGGTGAGGCAATTATATACAGATGGTTTATTAGTGGACAATAAGGTAGGCACAGAAGTAGGGAAAGGAATATGAAGGGACACAAGATCATTGAAAAAGAAGGAGCGGTCATATTTTAAACAAACAAAGAATATGTGGTTGAGATCACCAACCATACCCATGCCGCAGTCGCATAAATTGTTGTTAATAATGCCAATTCTAGTGAGATGATCAAGAGTGCAGACATGTCCAAGACGCATGCGAATTACAATCGAGATTTCTTTCTTACCATACTTGGATTTACGGAACCATGGTTTAATAGGAATGTGTGGTTGAATTGATGCAAAGAATTTACCTTTTTCTCGCGAACTTCGTTCCCAAATATTACACCAGGCACTATAAAGATCATCTTTAGGAAGAGATAAAAGGTCATTGCTGTAGTTTTTGTAAGGATGCATGTCCCCACAATACACTGCCTCATTTGCTAACTTATCAGATAGCTCATTTCCAGTAATGCCACAGTGACTTGGAATCCTCATGAACTGAACGGAGAAGTTATAAGTTTGACACTTGTAAAGTAGTTTTCTTATTTCATAAATAAATGGAAAATGAAATTTCATTCTGAGGGGGAATTTGCTTAGTGTTTGGAGAGAACTCATAGAATCTGTGAATATGATAGTATTTTTAAGTTTCATAGTAATTATGTATTCCAAGGCCTTCAAAAGACCATAACATTCGCCTGTAAACACCGAAGATTCAGGGGGTAATTTGATTTTTTGAACAATGTTATATTGGGCATGATACACACCTATACCTACATTACCAGATGGATTATGTTTTGAGGCATCCGTGTAAATATGATGATGGTTATTATATTCAGTATCAATAAGGTATTTGAAATTAAATTTTGTATTGGAATCTTTGTTAATAGAATTTAAAATAATATCTGGACATGAAATCAAGGACTCGTAATTAGCTTCAAAGGGAGGAAGTAAATTAGAACGATGTATAGGGGATTGGAGGTTCAAATATTTTTTGTAGCTAATTATTAAGCATGGAGAACATTTATTAACCCAATAATTGGAATATTCCATTTTTTCTGTCAGAGATTGCAACCCAAAAAAAATTGGGTGATGAGCTAACTGGATGGAACGAAAGAGATACCTATCAGATAAATATTGGCGTCTAAGATGTAATGGCGATTCGCAGCACTCTACCTGTAAAGCATTGATTGGACTTGACTTCATGGCTCCTGTAACCAATCTTAGAGCTTTTGATTGTATACGGTCAAGCTTTTTTAAAGCGCTACTACTCCCAGGTTCTAATAAAAAAGTACCATAGTCTAATATACTACGTATCAAGGAATTATAAAGTAATTTGAGAGTAAAGGGATGAGCGCCCCACCAGACACCAGCTAAACACCTAAGAATATTTAAAAGACGTTCACATTTATTAACCAAATGTTCACAATGCTGTGCGCCGGTAATTTTGGAGTCTAAAATAATTCCCAGGTATTTAAAGCTGTCTTGAACAGGAATACTATCAACATCATACATGATTTGTATTGGGGGAACCTTACGTTTTCTAGAAAATATCACCACACTACTTTTAGACACTGAAAGGCTTAAGCCATTCTGATCAAGCCATTTCTTTAGACAAGACAAAGCAGATGATACATTGGAGGAAGCTCTTTCTATAGAGCTATCATTAGAGTAGATAAGAAGATCGTCTGCGTATTGAAGAATTTTAACATTATTTTTAAATACGGTTTCTAAATCATACGTATAAACATTATATAATAGAGGACTTAGGACAGAACCTTGTGGTAAACCTTTCCAGACAGTTCTGGTCATGTCATTGTCAAAATCAAATATTAATTTCACAGTTCGCTCATTAAGTAAATTAATAATTAAGTTAGAAAATCGGAGGGGAACATCAAGAGCTTCCAATTTAGATTTTAATATCGATAAAATTACATTATCGTACGCGGACTTTATATCAAGGAAAGCAGCGACTACTGATTTATTGGACGTAAAAGCTAATCGAACGTCTATGGTGAATATACTAATATTATCAATAGTACTTTTGCTTTTACGGAACCCATATTGACTGTAAGAAAGAGCCTGTTTATTTTCTAAAAACCATTCCAAACGGGTTTTTATTAAATGTTCAGCCAATTTGACTAAAACAGTAGATAACGCTATAGGACGATAGTTATCAGCAACATTTGGTGATTTATTAGGTTTCAATACTGGCAATACTCTCTGAGATTTCCATGGTAACGGGACGTTTCCAGTTATCATGAAACTATTTACGATATCTAAATAACCTAAAAGTACTGTATCACTAAGATTTGAAAAGAAACTATATGGAATTCCATCATCACCTGGGCAGGAGTCTCTAACGCTGTTGATAATACCTTTAAGTTCATATAAAGTAAATGGACGTTCTAAGTAATGTGTGGATAACGTTAACGAGGCTTGTAGGGTTAAATTATTTTCCGGGACCCATGGCGGTGCTAATTTATCAAGAAAGTCGTTCGCAAGAGTAGGAGGAAGAGTAGAAAAAGAAGTTTTGTTAAAGGCAGATCTAAAACGTTTAATATTATTCCAGACTATTGAAGGGTGGACATTAGGAGAAATAGAAGTACAGAAACGCTTCCAGCCTTCAAATTTCTTATTTTTGAATAACTTTTTTGTTTCTGATTTTAGTTTACATAGTATTTCATAGTTAGTATATGTCATATTTTTACAATAGAGTCTTTCTGCATTTTTCCTTTTTTTAATTGCTTGGGTGCATTCGCTGTCCCACCAAGGTGGAGATGGAATTCTGATTAAAGTATTTGCCTTGGAAGGAAAAGTTTCAGAGGCAGCTTCTGTTAAAATGTCAGTCAGAATTTGTGCACAAGCAATATCATTACTACTGTTCACACTTGGTAGTTGATTAATCTTAGCGTCAACTCTA